AATTATTTATGTAGAGATACTGCTTGCAAACCAATGATGGTAAGATGATGTCATGGGGTAGGACTGGATAAGTCTGACTTCTTCCTACTCCATTCAAGCATGTACTAGGTATAAGCACATTGATATTGGATTAGCATTTGTTGGACATGTGTAAAATTATGTGTGTTGACATATCAACTGTCTTTACATGCTTGAAAGAATAAATCAAAATCAAATCAAAGGGAGTTTTTCCTCCCTCACTGTCACCAAGTGCTTGATTTGTTGGGTTTTTCCTTTGTAATAATAGTGATAATAGTAAGGTCCTGAGATGACTTTTGTTGTGATTTGTTATACAAATAACACTGAATTGAATTGAATGTGTTTATTAATGTTATTGTTAACAGCTACAGTACAACTCCTCCAAACTAATAATGGTTAACAGTATGTCTACAGTAAAATAGAGTTGTAATAATATAAAATATCACAACAGTAGACGTTGACAAACACTTCACATGGTGTACAAATCATACCAAGATCTCACCCTGCTGTAAAACTCACAACGTGACTGAGTCAGACCCACACAAGTTATAAATGAGCTCATCAATTACATGATCGCCCAAACTCAGGCTGCACATGTGGGACACTCAAACATCTCCATCACACAGAGTTTCAAAACAAACCGACATAAAACCTTATTATAACGACTGTATCCTACAACAAGCTCAAACATGGAATATGACTGACTGGTTGTTGAATGTTTGACTGAATCAAACAAATTCAGATGTGGAGAACATTTACCCTCGTGCTTAACAGGTACATTGTCAGACATCTAGCAAAACTCTCAGAAAACGGGCTCTTTGGATCATTTTAGTAGAGGCATAAATCTTCATTCGTATTAGACTACCTTAGAACCATTAACAACGGCAGAGTTTTTAACACCAAAAGGTGTTTTCATGCTATGCACAAAAAGAATAAAGTTCTACAAAAACAAACTCACCGTGCTGTAATCTTGAGGAGTGCTCCACACGTGCAGGTTCCACCGCAAAGCTGTAGTTTGACGCACTGACTCGCTCCTCGTTAGTTATACTGATGATCTGGTGTGACGTGATAAAACCAGCGCTGTCCAATCAGCTGCCAGGTTCCCCTGGCCCTGCAGACCGGTGCAGAAAGGAAAGTACAAGCTGTTGTTTAACAGCCCGAGCGGTAACAGGACAGGCTTCTGGTATGAATCGATGACTAGGAGAACAATTTACCCCTACACTGCAAAAAATGTCACAGGGAATCACAAGTCTGATCTTGGCACAGGCTATTTTGTTGTTATTGTTGTTGTTGATACAGTAAATATGTAGTGTAAATAAAGATTTAACAACCAAACAATCAATGAAATAAATACAAGTTTTAACAAATATTAAAAATCGAATATATAAAAATACATTCTAAGGAAATTATAAATAAAATGAATTAGCAATACCCTTAATAAGTCTTCATTGGTGTATAGTTTTGCTATTTCTTTGGATTTTTTTAATGACTACAGATAAACATTAGGCCTGCTAAATGGACTACAACAAGTGCAGGTTTATATTTTGGGGCAACCTTTTTATTTGTTATATTTTAATAACATGATATATATGTATTATTCAATTAAATATGCACCATCTATATGTTGTTTCAATATTTATATTCCTATTTGCACTGTGTAAAAATGAAACAACATCAGATATAAAATACCTTAACATTAGTAGTAAGGTTGAGACATAATGGATGGCATTGCTAGTTTTTAAATTCGTAACTTTTTACAGTGGGCATTCTGCAGTCCCTGGGTGGAGGCAACACGTTTTAAAATAACTAATGTCGAGAAGCAACTATCCAGAAATAAAGTAAAAAATGTATGGGATGTGGGTTATGGGAAAATCACACATCATTCAGGCCTTTCATGTTGCGCAATCTTCTGAAAGGTGTTGACTCAGAGCGGACTGGTTTCAGGGAAGGAGGAGCGGGGAAACCACGCCGTGTCCTCCTCCAGTGCGCACGGAGGACGCGCTGATCCGTTCCACACGACTCTACACAGTTTTGTATATTGTCATCCCTCTGTTAAAGTCAGTGGTGGAAACTACATTTACTAGAGTATGATACTTAGGCACAATTTTGAGCTATTTGTACTTGAGTATTTTCATTTTATGCTACTGCATACTTTGACTTCATTACATTTTGAGAGGCAACGATTGTACTTATTACTCCACCACATTCATTTGCTAACTTTAGTCACTTTTCGGAAGCAGATTAACTATACAAAATGCAATATAATCCTTTGACTTTATTGATGCCTGGTGGGAAATTCACAAAATCCCCAGCAGTACCTGAAATCACAGTTATAATCTACCTTTACCAGCCACAACATTAAATGTGACACGCACAATAATGCATCAATAATTATAACCCAGTAATATGATATAAATGAATGTGAACTACACAGTGGGGCAGTGGTTAGCACTGTCACCTCACAGCAAGGAAGTTCTGGGCCTGTGCCTGCATGGGTTCTCTCTGGGTACTCCAGCTTCCTCCCACAGTCCAGAGACATACAGCTTAGGTCGACTGGCAACTCAAAATTGCCAGTAAGAGTGTGTGTGGTTGTTTGTCTATGTGCCGGTCCTGTGATAGAATATTGACCTGTCCAGGGTGGACCCCCCCTCTCGCCAGATGTCAGCTGGGATTGGCTCTGTTCAGAAATAAGCTGTATAGATAAAGATGGATAGATTTTTGTGAAATATGGTATTCTGCATAATGAATGCAAGTATGTTTTCATGCCACTATTTTTGTACTTTTGCTTAAGTAACAGTTACTTTTACTTTAATAAACAATTTGAGTACTACTTCTACTGATCAAAGTGACCGTTTCCCACAAAGACACAGATAAATGTGAGCCCCCTTAGTGACACTTTTCACATCAGATTAACATATCGCTTTCCACAGTTTTGTGCATGGATTTTTGGGGGGCTTCCATGGGGGGGCTCTGCACTGATGTGATGTTAAGGGACCCTTACACTTCTGATGTCTTTTTGGTTACATTATAGCCATTGTTGTCCAAAGTGATTTGCATTTTTCCCACTACATACACAGCAATTAAGGGTTCAGTGTCTAGCTCAAGGACACACATGGAGAGGATCTTATTCTGTGTTGGGTCACTGTGGGCAGAAGCTGATTCCAGCTCACACAGGGCTGGTGGTGGGGAACTCTCAGGACAGGCTCCCGCTCTGTGACACAGCTAACATTCAGTACAGTCAGTAAAAGTCAGACATTTTCACTCAGATCAACATCAACGAAAAAAATGTAGAGTTTATAAATCTGAAGGTAGGTAGGTACTTTATTGATCCCTCAATGGGGAAATTTCAGTGTTTCAGCAGCAATGGAGAACAAACAACATAACACCATGAGAAACAAACACCACACACATATCTTGATAAACAAATTTCAGTACCTCAAGCAGCAATAGAGAACAGACAGCATAACACCATGAGAACAAGCACCGCACACACATCCTGATAAATAAATTCTAAGTACTCAAAAATAGACAGAATCAAGTATTTGAATAATCAAGAACAGAATTTACACATGTGCATATTAACCATGCATTTTACCCCAGGATTTGAGTATTGCACCTCAGTTGACTATTACATAGTCCCTCCTAATTTCACATAGCTAATCCCTGCAGTGATGTATTGTACAGTCTGATGGCTGTGGGGAGGAACGACCTACGGTAACGCTCCTTCTTACACTGGGGATGTAACAGTCTCGTGCTAAAAGAACTGTTCAGAGCCACCACTGTGTGGTGCAGGGGATGGGAGGGGTTATGCATGATGGATGTTAGTTTTACCAGCATCCTTCTCTCCGCCACCTCCTCGATGGAATCCAGAGAGCAGCCCAGGACAGAACCAGCTCTCTTGACCAGCTTGTTTAGCCTCTTTCTGTCCCTGTCCGTACTACCTCCCGCCCAGCCCACAACAGTGTAAAAAACAGCAGATGCCACTACAGTATCATAAAAAGTCCAAAGGAGTGCCCCGCACACACCAAAGGATCTCAGTCTCCTCAACAAGTGGAGGAGGCTCTGGCCCTTCTTGTATAGGGCATCAGTGTTGTTGCTCCAATCCAGCTTATTGTTGAGGTGCACACCCAGGTATTTCAAGGTGTCCACAATCTCAATGACTGAGCCCTAAAAACTTACCGGCATGAGTGGCAGTGATTTCCGCCGGGGATCAGTCACCATCTGTTTAGTCTTACTGGTGTTCAGGACCAGTTGATTTTCCTCACACCACTTCACAAAGTCAGTACAACCCCCCTGTATTCCCGCTCCCAACTTGGGCCCCACACAGTCGAGTTTGTAGTGTTTTGACTCTTATCATTAAATGAAGCAGTCATTGGAGAGCTCCAGCTGTTTAGCCTAAAGTTTGACCTACATGTCCAAACCTAACCCAGACCTAAACACACGTTGAAATTTCTGCCAGAACCCAGCATGAATCCCTGGGTACCGATGGGTCCTATCAGGCTCGGTTCAGGTATCCATACTGTACCTCACAGCATGAAAGTTCTTGGTTTACCAATCTTACTTCAAATATAATCAGGCTTGGCATTATGTGAAATTCCATGGCCAGATAAACCTGCTAGGGTACCCCGCTGCAAAATAAGATGATGTTATATTTTAAGTTCAGATTATTCCTAAACATTTTAACAATTTTACATGTCCTCCATGATTTGAGAACAGTCTTAATGGGCAAACCCCCGACAAAACCATGTGACTCATTTGAGCGTAAATGTAGTTGTTTTATTGATCAGCTTTTACATTCTTGACATTTTTGCTTCGGATCTTGAAAAGTGCTGTAAAAAGATCATCACTGGTCGTGTGATTGGCAGCGACAGTGACTCATACTGTGACCGTGTTTACCGACATTACAGTATTTCTCACAGTACCCCATGTTGTGGTTTAACAGAAGGGGCCTTCTTTATGAAACAACTGTGCAGTGAGAAGCCCCGGACATTTCTTCCCAGCACCAATGCAGTCTGTTTACGGTACATGTGACACAGCAACACATCACTAAAAAGGAAAGAGAAGGTTTCACTGTA